AGGTGACAATTCGGTCCAAAAACGGTCGTTTCTGTTGCGCAAAAGCAGTGAAGAAGAAACCTCGAGACGTGCCAATTTCTGCCGGTCACTCAAATTGTGGGGCACCCACTTGTCGAGTTTTTCACCTTCCCAATGCGTTTCAGACCATCCGCAACAGTGGATTTGCCAACGCCTAGCTTTTCTGCAATCTCTCGAACTGTTTGGGATGGGTCAGCCTCCACAAACGCCTTCAAATCCTCGTCAGGTATTGCTTTAGGTCGAGCTACGAGGTTCATCTTCAAGGCTGAAATCTCCAGAACGAAATTTGTTGAACCATTGCCGCACGGTGCTTTCTCCAACACTATTGGGCCCCCACACCTGGTTAATTTGTCGAGCTGTCTCGACTGCGGATTGACCCAATTTGTAGTTGAAGAAAAATATCGTCCGAAGTTGCTCTTTTGACATGCTTCAAAAAGTCTTGGGAAAAGGGGGATTTATCAAGCAATGGTAAAACGGTAATCATACTATCAGATACGCAAAAAATTCTCTTCAGGATTTACTACTAACCATTGAGTACGCAAGGAGAATTGAATTTTTAATCAGCTTGAATAAGAGTTCCGAAAAAAATAGGTACACAAAAAACCTGAGAACTTTCCCGGGCAATCTTACATCCTACTTTAAAGGCACGTTCCGCGATAAACTAGGGCTAGGTTCTCATAACCGTGCCCGACGGTCAAGCAGGCAACGTCAGAGGCTATGCTGCTTACAAAAGTTGAAAAACAGCAAGCAAAACGCGGCGCGCTCAGCTTTTAGGCCCATTGGCGCCCGATAGGCCCATGCCGGCCTCCAGTGACCGTGTCGTTGTGAGACTGCCATTGCGCTCTCTCGCTCGTCGTTTTCTGGCCTCTCTCGTCTCTTATCAGTGTCTCGCCGCCTTTTGCCATCCACAGTCGATCTTGACCACCTTACGCTCGTCCGGTGATCATGATCAATTGAAATAAAGAGGGTCTTATTGCGGGCGCTTTTTCGTGGTTCCTTCCCTTCAATAAGTCAAACAACACAGGCAGTTCTGTTTTGAACTGTATTACCTAAGAAGTGTGGTCGCGGGAATTGCCTTTCACGTAACTTAAACTGATAAGACTCGTATTCTTCTGCTTTGTTCAGAAATATGCTTCTCAAGTCATGCAAGGGTGCTTCTACAAGGCGTACAGAGTACTACCAGGTGAATTCAAAAGAATTAGTGCATCAAGGAATCGAGCACTCGAAATTGCAACGTGAGGCCGGCATCATAAATACAGAGTTACAAATCCTTGACTCTCGAAAAAAAAAACAGCTGTAGATCCTTGAATCTCAAAAAAACCTCTGTTACACCGTTTGGAGAAGATATGAAAAACGGGTTTGCAGACTGCAAATAGGTGCAATAGTCGCTATACATTTCATTGCGAAGGGCTACTTCGCCCTTTACTCGAACCGAACTGAACCATGACAAAATGCAACAAACAACTAAAAGGACTCAATTATTTGGCGAAGAATATTTTCAGTTTATTACCCATCTTATTACCATTAGATTACACATAACAACAGCATTTCAAGAACAACAATCTTTTCAAATAACAGGCTCTCTACATTGAGCAAAATTTATCACAATGGCACTATATGCATTGAGCAACATCCTTTATACTGACAGGGACGCTATAAGGTCACTACCGTTCAGTCACTTGACTCTATAGCGTAGCCACGTTTAGGCCCTCTTGTTTTCGACTTGGATGTTCTTGTATGCCAGACCAGAATCTCCTTCGGATAAGTCATTGTAGCGCGAATTGGTTCGAGTCTATCCTTCTGAATCCGGACTGAGCGAAGGAAAACACGATTCAGAAGGCCTAATTGTTTGTAGGTCTTTGGCACAGTATCATGGTTAAACGAAGCACTGCAAAAAAAGAGGATTTGTTTTCATTGATTCATTTTTTCTAATCGGTCCGAAGTAATTAGGTCTTGCCTAAAAGAAATGCAGGATTTTGCTTGCTTGTATTTCATACTTATTTTATTCCAATAATATGTTACTTTAATATGAAGTGTTATATACTATTCGGAAGCTCATCTCATGCTCTTTCTAAATGATACTCCAAGATTGGGTTTGTAATTCATTTCGTTGTAATCTTTATTGACATTTCATTGCAAATGTCAAAACGTGAATTTCGCACTATTTTCTTCTATGAGTTCAAGCTAGGACGAAACGCTGCCGATACAGCTCGGAACATCAACGAAGTTTGGGGTCAAGGAAGTATCAACGAATCTACGGTCCAACGTTGGTTCCAGAAGTTTCGCTGTGGCAACACCAGCCTTGAAGATGAACTTCATGTTTGGTGGTCTGCCGCCGGTCTCATCCATCACAGCTTCCTGAATCCTGGTGAAACAATTACGGCAGAGAAGTACTGTCAACAAATCGACGAAATGCATCAGAAGCCTTAACGCATGTGCCCAAGGTTGGTCAATATGAAGGACTCCCACGATTCGTCGGACTCTCCTCCACGAAATCGCCCCGACCACACACTTTTCACAATTGTACCTCCAGAAAATAAAGCAGATGGGCTATGAAACTCGCCTCATGCCAACCATATCACCAGACCGGTCGCCAACTGTCGCACCGACCACCACTTTTTCAAGCATCTGGACAACTATCTTAGAGAGAAAGGCTTCAAAAAACCAAGACGATGTCAAAAACGCCTTCAACGATTTTGTGGCCTCTAAAAAGAATTACAACCAATCTTGAAGTATCATTTAGAAAGAGCATTAGATAAGCTTTCGAATGATATATAACACTTACATTTTATTGGAATAAAATAAGTATTAAATACAAAAAAACGAAATCCTGCATTTCTTTTGCAACGACCTAATAGAACACGTACACTCGAGCTCTGAACAGCTCTTTGACGTTGATTGCAAATCCGGCCATATCGGTGGCGAATGGCCGACCAGGGGCGAACATCACGTCCCAGGCGATCACTTTACCCTTGGATGAAACGTGCGGTGCCTCAACCCAAGCGCCGCCCACTAGTCCTGAATTTGACGGAAATAAATGCACGGTGGTAATTTTCAAAGGTATCAGACGCTGATTTGACTGGAAAATCAAGGTGAAGGTACCCATTAATGAGATAACTGACGCGTAAAGCCCGATCAAAAGCAAAAAAATCGCGGGGTTCGTTTTTGCACGTTGAACTGCCAAGTCCTTTAATTGCGCTTCCAAATACAAGTAAAACGCAATTTCCTGATGCGGATAACATTGGAGGTGCTGCAAAATAAGAACAGAAGATGATGACGAGGGTCAGAACTTAAAAGCAACTGTGCCACTTCTGCAACATCCCTCGGAGGCCGCGTATTTCCACGAAACATGAAAATAAAACGGCATACTCGTTAGTTTGATACAAGCAAAACGCAATTTCCTGATGCGAATAAAATTTTAGGTGTTGTTTGCTCATACTTCAAAATCCATGTATAAGGAGATGAAATAACTACAGGCTAGAAATGAAGCACAACGATGTAAATGTAAACAAAACAAAAATGAAAAAATCAAGGAAAGGCAAATTAGATAAACTGGCCTGTAAATTTCTACGATCCGGCGCGAATCCGGCGCCAAAGCCATAGAAATACTTAGAACAAACGAGTGGGACGCTTGGGCTGTTTTTATTCTCATGTTTTGTGGGATAACTCAGGCCACAGAGCAGTACTCAGCATAGCTGTAAGACACAACCGCACTCTAAATCACTTCGAAGCATGGATGACGTCAACGCTTGAATCTCAGGACTACGTCTTTAATCTCTGCTTGAACTCGCGCAATCGCGAAGACTGCAATGTAAGCGATCAGGCTGACGCCAAAGATTAGGATTTCACACAAAAGATCGTGGATCTTGATCTGAGAATGCGACCATACCCAGCTTATTCACAAAGTTAGCAGCCTCTAATTACCACCTCCTTTGGTCCCTATCGCATCCTTTAAAAAGCAAAAATTCCGAAAATCGACCTCAACTCGAGAATGAGGTCCACCTCTTCTTTTATCATAGTTGCCGTAGTTCTATGAGAATGGAAATGAGAAGCTGTGCAAAAGAAGGGCACTAGTCCTAGTCATCAACTGCGGTTACCTTGTAGATTGGAGATGTCTTTTAGTGACGGAAAATTTAGTCCGAAAAATTGGTCAAAGTGTCGCATTACTTTTCGAACAACCTAATAGTTAGGTTGTACCTAGTTGTACTTGGGTCACTTCGCTTCTCATTGTAAACAATGCTACTTTGTACAGAAGCGATTTTGCTTATCGGATCTTTCTGCCCATGAGGGGAAAGTGCCGACATTTGAGGCTCATCCGCGACCACCCAGTGGTAAATCGAAGTACTTAAAAAAAGTTCTGTTTTTATTCCCTCAAAATGCGAGGCAACCAGGTTAGGTGTGGCCTGTGAATCATCCTCGCTCAAAGAAACTCTGGAGTGAGATAGTAGACAAAAGGTAGTAGGTTCCAAGTATGCCAAAAGGTTGCACTAAGCACACCGCTTACACGTGACAATGCAGCGTGCAACGCTTGTCAGCATGTTTTCCTGGAAATAACGCTCTCTCCCTCTGCTAAGGCTTAACTTTAGCAAGATCGTCATCGCAGACAATCAGAAATGGCGATGTTTTGTGTGCCTGTGTTTTTCTAGCGGTCCTAACACATCGCGCGGTGCGAAACAGCCAGGAGTGCGCTTCATAC